TATTTTCTGCAACGTTCCCCAACACTGACCTGATCCGGAGGCTCTTGCTTCCAGTTCCAGCGACGGAGGTGGAGCACAGCAGCCCCAAGGCGACGCGCCTTCGCCGTTGCCTACCATCCCATGGTGTCTCCATGCCGCCGCCTCTGCCGCCGTCGTCGGGAGCGGAGTAGAGCAGAGGAGCAAGGAAATGTTGGGTTGGGCCACTCCGGTGCGATAGACTAGTCGGTGCAAAGCAGAGGAGCATTTGAGCTCGGGAGCAGAAACCCTAGATCCCTCCGAGTAAGGCATTTCGCAAACCCTCGCAGCTAGCACTCGTCTCCCCTCCCCCGGTGCCACCCCCTCACCTCTGTCGGACAAGGTGGTCGAGCATAGCCTGTGCTGCGAACGGCAACGGGCAAAGTGCCCTCTCGCGCTCACATGGCAACTTTCCCACAGATCCGTGGTAGTTCGTGCGGCCTCCCCCAACGGCAAAGCTCCTCTGGTCGAGGAACTGTTCTAGGAGGCACGACGGAGCGTATTCCACTCCCCTTCTCCCTCCTGACATAGTGTCGTCCAACGGGGTGGTGTGTGACAGTGTCCTGGCTAAGGGGCCTCTCACCAGGTCGACTCCCAGCATAGTTGTCTCATGCACATGCTGGATTTGTGGAGGATTCTACCTCCTAACACATTGCTAACTAGGATCCATGTAACCTAGGGCCCCCAGTATACTATATAAACTGGGGTCTAGGCTTTTAGATGGAGATCAAGTTACAACGACTTGTTCTTGACACTTTGATACTTGGATCATTTTCATAAATGGTTGTGTACACTGTTTGACGCGGAGGCCCATGATAATCCTCCTTTTTGAAGAAAGCACAGAAGTTGGTTAGAAATCGCCCAAATACACACGAAAAAAGGTCGCCTATTGTATTTCTGCTCTCACATATTTAGAACTTGTATGTTCCTTGTTCGTCCATCTTGATACAATGTGACTTTGTTATGCTACTGAATTTCTGGCCAGTTGACTCGACAATCAAGAAATGGCAGGGGCTTGTAAAACACTAGGCCCTTTTTTAGTTAAAATTTCAAATTCTAGGGGGTTTGCCATAATCAAATGGGCCCTTTGCCACTGTATTCTTGGAAGTTTCATGAAAATTAATACTGAAGTGCCTGAGCTCGAGCCTGAGCAGCTCAGCGTCATATGGGCTGGATAAGTCAGTCGTCCTTATCCGACGAATCTCCAGTGGCCAGCAGATCAGATCACGGGAAGTTTAATTAGTTATTTATTAATTAGGCGCCGTGATTGGACCAGGGACTGATCAACACTTGAGTCTAGTGAAGTCGTCTCAAAATTTTTGGGTACCTAGGGGTTCATAAGATATATATATATATATATATATATATATATATATATATATATATATATATATATATATAGGACTGCTAAAGTGAGCCTGAGCGTATAAATTTTATTCTGCGTGCTGCCCACTCATACGAGTGCGCTCCTGTTGTAAGTAACCGACCAGCCACCAGGTGCTTGCGCCAGTTTCTCCACTATGCCAAAACTGATGGTAATAATGGGTCTACTTGTAGTAATACACGCCTGATGCATTACTAGATAGTAATGTTGGATCTATTTATAGTAATATATATACATGATGCATTACTAGCACGTGGTCTCTCCTCTCCAGGTAGAAATTAATGGTAATATTTGGTCCAGTCATAGTAATTCATTACTAGCATTAGGTCTCTCTCCTCGATGTAAAAATCAATGGTAATATTAGGTCCATTTATAGTAATTCATTACTAGCATTAGGTCTCCCCCTCCATGTAAAAATCAATGGTAATATTAGGTCTAGTTATAGTAATTCAAACATGATGCATTACTATCATGGAGTTCTACATGTACGTGAACATGATGCTTTACTTGGTAACACAAGTAATTTTATTACCATATCCCGACCAGTTTTACTACCAATATTTAGGGAGCGTAGTTGGTAACACAAACTATTCTATTACCATATCCTCAACCCGTATTACTACTAAAGCCTAGTTGGTAACGTACATTATTCTATTACCACATCCTTGGCACGTTTTACTACCAACAATTAGGGAGGGTAGTTGCGAGACGTAGGTGAACCTGTGGGACGGTAACGAAATAAATTGCATTACTATTACTGCAGTTGGTTTTACCCTCATTCATTAACGGGCAAGGAGGCCTACTCATGCGGAGCGACCGC